GGATAACCAAAAGGAAATAGTGGCCCTCAAATGGAGCCTATCACCTCTTCGACTCTTCTCCGACGATCTGATCAAGTATATGTTCGAAGTTCTTGTCCTAGATGGCGAGATTTCACCATGGATACTTATGAAAGTGTGCCATAAGTTTCATTCAGTAGGATTAATTTCCCATAAGGTACATACATTGTCAGATACATTATTTTTCTGACCAGAAATAAAGCTCTGGACCCGAATAATTGTGGATGCAAATCGCTCGAACGGATTCGGAAGGCGACTCGGTGGAAGGGAAAATTGCTGCACGGCAAAGCACCTCCGGGGTATACTTCGACTCTCTGGTGAAGCCCCTCTTGATATTTCAGTTCGCATGTTGTCAGAAGAAATGGCCGCACTCCTTGTTGCCGAGCGGTGGCGATGGGAGCGACTCGAATTCTTCAATGAACCTTTGGATCCATTGACGGCCGAGTCATTAACCGATGAAGCCAAAGCTCTCTTTGTGATACCGAATGAGTCGCTCAGTATCAAGGAGGCTTCCTTTTTTCATGTATCCGATATTAGCGTGGCCTCTTGGGCTGAAGCTGCACGGCCGCAAAGCCTCTCGCTCAATTTCTCTTCAATCGAGCCATTTGTCTCCATCAAATGGTGGGATAGCCTCCAAGTGCTGAATATCCAAGGCTTTGAGGAATTTACTCTCCACGGGCCATCGGTTTATGCGATTCTCTCGGCGGTGCGCATATATCTGGTCGGGCTAAGCATATCAGAATGCAATCTAGAGGACCAATTTACAGAAGTCATGGAATTCCCGAAACTTCGAGACCTCTCTCTTGTGTCTGTCAGTCATTGGTGGATGATGTCAGCCCCCCAGGTTGTCTCCCTTTGCTTAGAGCCTCAAGATCCGGCGCCTCCAGGCACTAAATTCAGCTATCTTCAACTCAAGAAACTCAGCTATCGTGCCGATAAGGTGCCGCTACTCGGTGATACAATCTATTGCCCTCAACTCGAGTCTATATCCTTGACTGCCGTGGCGTCGACCAAACCTGGGGAAAATTTGATCTGGTGTACTGCCGAAGGTGAATTATCATCCATGGCAGCAAAGGAAATCCACATAGAGGGTGCTGCTGGTATCAAAGATATCAAATATAAGGACTTGATAACGAGTCTACGGCCTCACAATGGCCTTGAAAAGCTTAAAATCACCTATATCAAGCTTCCAGTTCTATTCTATAAGGCTTTTCTTCGACCCGGCACGAAGAAGAAGCTAGCTCCTCTATGCCCGGCCCTCCGTGACTTGGAAGTTGACCTGCAGGGAGTGAGAGCGACAATAGATGCGACCCAATACGATCAAGTTTTCCAGGAACTTGTACAAGAGAGGGAGAAATCGGCGTCTCCTCTAACGCGTCTCTATGTTAGATGGCCGGGCTATGATTTTAAGCCTACTAACTATACAAATGGGGAGACACTGACCAAAGAAAAGTTTGAGCTCTTTTTTGGTAGCAGTTCCGATGACGATAGTGATAGATACCCAGACCGAACCCACTTTACCCCCGACCACTTAACTGAAATCTCGGAATGAAAGTTCTTGACTTGGTTATCTTTTATTTCCGAATTCTTCGCCTGTCTGTTGTGTCAGTCCTGTGTATTTGTACAGTTTCCTACACGATAGCATACCGACATGCTTCGTGTCAGTTCGTTGGCAAGTTTCGTATGCCCAAAGCATCATAACATACAAACTTTATGAACCTTCTGCATAACATGGATGCCATAGATAAATATTTTGAGACGAGCACTGGTCACGAGTGGTCAAAGAGGCCACAAGCACTATCCCTCGACTCAATCTTCGGGAGCGCTCATTTATTTCTCTCTGGCCCATACTTACGTGCATATCACGTGTATAAGTGATAATGAAGCGTAGAAACACTACAGCACGAGTTGTGATGGACGAGATCGTTCCAAGGGATAATTCTACGATGGCAAGTACTCCTGCCATGTCCCAGTGATTGTTTTTTTTAATATTTCCTGTCCTAAAACAGTCTGAATGCAAACCGCTGGTTGCTCCCATATTCCCTTTTCAATATGTTCTTTCAGACGCAGAAGTAATATCAACACGGGAGAACCTCAACAGACGTGAAGACGAAGACAAGCTTATTTCCAAGCGAATGGAGGAGGCCAAGTCCTTGATAGAGAAGTTTAAGCAACAGCAAAAGGAAAACGCCAGGCAAATAACAGGCCTTAAATGGTCGTTGTCGACCGCTCGGCGTCTCCCTGATGACGTTCTGATCGAGATTCTGAAGACATGCGTTT